TATTTAATTTAAATATATCTGGTTAGGCTCCCTAATCTGATCCCACATTCCCCTTATATATAAAACTAGTAGTTTGCATCGCTTATGGATTTTAGATGGGAGAATTACAATGAGGTCCCAAGTAATAAAAAATAAGTTCCAGAGGTTATCATTCTCACTGTAAGACTTTTTAGTATAGGCTGCTCATTTGTTACTGGGGACTTTATAGTATATTCTCTTATGGGACTTGAATGTAATTCTCCCATTTTAGATCTCTGTAATGATGTGTTAAAAATGTAGCTTATTTTTATGGATATGTGTATCAAAAAGTAAGGCTCACTTTTTTCACATAAAAGATATATAAGTAATTTTATATATACAAATAATATTTAAAACAAATATATTCCATGAGATATAAAAGTGTATGATAAAATAAACGAGTACGGGTCTTACTATCTTTTAACTTTATTTAGCATCTCCTTAAAGATTCAATCACACACATGTTCATAGGTCTTTAAAATGGAAAAGGGGTGAGGAAAATGTTTGTTTGCCTTCACTTAAAAGAATATATTTTTTTTCCGACTCATGTTACAAATTTAATTTTTACAATATAAAATCTTTTTTTTTTTGGCCGGCACAATATAGAATCATTTAGAATAAGTTAATTCAAACCCTCTCATTTAACTCTTTTCTTTTTCCTCCTCCTTCTTTTATATTCATATTACAGTTTCAATTTGCCATCAATAACGTGAGGAACTTGGATCTCTCAAGTGACTCTAAATAAAGTTAGGAGGGCATTGATGTCATATGAGACAGTAACCTTATGTTTGAATGGGGGAGAAAATTAAAGAGGAAATAATATTAGGAGAAAAATTCTCAAAAAAGAGTGGACTGATGAGGGTCTTCATAGAGCCATTACGTAATGTGATTCTTACTGAAGATTTTTTTTTTTGGGTGGGTAAATCAGAAATCTCTCAGGAAGTGGGCCCATAATTATATTTATTAAAATTGGGCATCAAAATTTAAAATCATCTGGTGGCCTGGCCCAAAATATGCTAGCCCACATACAGCTATTAATGGGCCGATGTTCAATTCAACCCAAATTAGTAAACCAAATCTTGCCAGTTGCCCCGTGCCGTCGTTATTTTTTTTTTCAAATTTTTTCCTTTTCCTATATCAAGCCTTTTAATTATTTTACATTTATAAAATATATTTTCAATAAATGATTTTCACTATAATTTTTTCAGTTTTTCCCCTGACACACAGCATAGTTCAGAAGAAAAATGTGTACTAATATTTTTCTGAGAAAATTATAAATAAAAACCCCCTAATATAAAATTTGTGATTTAAGACCCTCAATTTGGAAAATAGCAAATAAGGACTTGGTCCTATTATTGCAAATATGAAATCATGGTAAAATTTTTGAAATGCCCCTCAGGCAAATAACAAGTTGATTATGAAAAATGATAAGTTCACTTTTACGAATGACAATTTTAGTAAACCAAATCACAACTTGATTGAGCGTGTGCCAAATAACGAGTTAACTATGAGAATACAAATTTATTTTAGTGAATACAACTTCAATAGACCAAATCACAATTTAGCTGAGGGATATTTCAGATATTTCACCTAAACTTCATATTTGCAAAATGGAACCTGGTTCTTATTTGCTATTTTCTAAATTTAGAATTCTAATTATAATTTTACATATTGAGGGTATTTATTTGTAATATCTCTATTTTTATTTGTTTTTTGGCCAAAAAATGCTTTCCTTTGTTCTTTTTTGTGAGTGAAGACGTACTGATGAACTCAATTTCTTGATATTGCACGTGGCATTCGTCCCTGTACGTGTTTTTTCATCTTTGGAAGTCTCGTAATAATATTTGCCTTTCCTTTTCCGTTCTCAAGAAAAGAATATTCACATAAATGAATATAATAATAATAAAAGCTTATAAGTAAAAATTAAGACAAAACACGCGCGGAAAAAAAAAAAAAACTAAGATCTCAAAGTGAAGCTCAGGTTGGAAAAACAATTTATTATCAAGATATTTATCTGAGATGGCTAGAAATTAAGATTTTCTGTGCACAATACAAAAAAGGAAGAAATTAAAGTTGTTTGATGAAATTTTTAATTGCAGCCTCAATGTATTTGGTAGGCTCAAAGCCTACTTAAGGCAATTAAGACGTGATTTTTAAGACATATTTAAGTATTTACATTTTAACTAGATTTTAGGAAATATTTTAGATTAGGTCAAACCCATCACGAGTTAAGACCTAAACTTTAAATAATTCTGCATATAAAAATAAGTTTAAAAAACTGTTTTTGAAGAATTATATTGTGAATTCTTGTTATGATTAATAACCTATTCTTTTCTTTTTTTGCTACAAATAAATTTTGGTGAGTTGGGTATTAGAAGCTCACCAGGGCCAGGATGTACTTCTAAACTTAGAAAGTATTTATGGAAGTATTTACAAATCGTTTAGTGATAAAGTTGTCGCATCGGTAGTAAATTTTGAATTCACAGCTTTATAAGTTATAAGTTGACTTTTTATCAATTCAACTAGCTCAACCTATCTATTTGAACTATAAGACGAGCTGTTTTGACTTCATTAAGCCTAGGAATTTCATGGGTTGGTTAAATATTTCTGCCAACTAATTTGAGTCAATTTTTGTTAGTAATGATTATGAACTTTTAAAGTAGTTTAAGTTTGGAGTGTACCATATGTTCAACAAGTAATGCTAAAGATGAAAAAAGGGCAAAAAAAAAAAAAAGCCAAAAAATTAGCTGCAAGAATTTTGAAAAACATATACTCCAACTTAAAAGTCAGTGGCTGAACGCAAATCTGCTTCACATTATATATCATATATTTATGTCTGAAATACATAAAGAAAATCGTACGTGAGTATAAATATAATGTTCCTCAATTCCTTTTATAAAAAAAAATACTCATCTAGTTCGTAATATAAGACCTATTTAATTAATTTGACTAGATTAAAAAAGTTAGGCAAGTTAGTTAATTATAAGAACTATGACTTTTTTTTTCTAAAACACCATAATCATCTTTCTTAATATCTTTCCTCCCTCACTTACTTGATTGTGGTTGAGAGAGTATTTATACAGGTAATTTAAGAAAAACTGACTGATAAATATGAAAAATAAATCTTATATTTAAGATCAAAATTAACTTAACAATTAGATTCTATATTAGGGATCAGAGGAGTAGTTTTTAAGTATTACTTGCTTATTTTTATAAGAAGGAAACACTAGGGGATATATCCAATTTTTTTTGGTTATTTTCACATTTTTCTCCTATTTAACTACTTTTTTTTTTTCGGTTTACACCACCCGGTATCCGGCGCACATTGGCAACCGACTACTCCGGGCTCGAGAGTAACGGAGTGCCGTGCTTACCCACGGGGTTGGACCCTCTCCCAATGAGAACGCTTCCCGGAATTGAACACGCGTTCTCATTCTTACGGGGGGCGAGCCCACTTACCAGCTCGACCAACTGCTCGTTGGTTCCTATTTAACTACTTATATCAATGGGTAAACTGTTTAGATGGCAATTTTTCTCTAATATGCTATCCCCTATATATTTTTAATGTGATTTAATGAATTATATCTTATAAAAAAAATGGAGGAAATATACACACACGTATATACTATTTTAAGTATTAATAATTAATAGCTGTCCATTCCAAAACCAATCCATTTGGTGGTCATCAAACAGCTTTTGCTTAAACCCCACCTCATCACTCTCCAATTGAGATAATGATTTATTTCTGCCATGCTATTCTGTGATCCCTTTTCTTCTTGTTCTCCCAACAAACAATCAACACCACTAGGCACGTTTTCTTACTCTCGCACTTAAATTATCAAAGAACCATTCATATTAAAAAAACAACTTATTAAATATTTTTGATAAATGAAGTTAAATACTCGCTCGGGTCTAATACATGAGCTTCACTTTTGAAAAAAAGTTTTGTCCAAAATATAAATTTTATTTTTGAGTTTATCTGAGCTTTTTTTTTTTTTTTTTACATTTAGTTGACTGCATTTAATATTACTTCTCTCTTATTAATATTATCCTCATATATTCTCTTTCATTATTTTTTCATTTATTATCTCTTTCATTTACTTTCTAAATAAATGAGAGTAAATTTGAAAAAAAGGAGGAAAAATAACAAATAAAAACCCCTAATATATGAAATTATGATTTGGGACTTTCAATTTAGAAAATGTCAAATAAAGACATGATCTCATATTGCAAATATGAAATCTTGACAAAATATCTAAAATGCTCCTCAATCAAGTGACAAGTTGACTAAGAGAAATGATAAGTTTACTTTAACAAATGAGAATTTCAGTAGATCAAATCACAACTTGGTTGAGAGACATTTCAGACATTTTACTAAAATTTCATATTTGCAATTTGCGATCATGTGTCTTTATTTGGTATTTTCCGAATTAAGAGTTCCAAATCCTAATTTCACATATTAGGAAGCTTTTATTTGTCATTTTCTCATAAAAGAATACATTTCTTACCTACTTATTATTTTTAACTAATTTTAACAACTAATTTATTAAATATGATTTAGTTATTTAAAGTTTATACATGGAACCGAAGGAGTATATTAGTGGCGTTAAATAATGGAAAGGAACAGCGATATTGTCGTCTTCCTCTCACACACAATTTCGCTTTCCTTTATCTGCTTTTCCTCGTCGCTGTCACCGGTCTGTGTCTTCTTGGACGGTGCTACTGCTGACGTGGCACACTGTCGCTCTTCCGACTTTTTCTCACACTCCTATTGTCTTCCCCTGCTCTACGTACGCTTTTCTCTCTCATCATCCCGGTCCTTCGCATCGTACTTAAGGGCATTTACGGTATTTCAACGACACATTCGAGGACAGTATCGTCCAAAACTCACATCTTCTTATGTCATCAATTGAACAGGACAAAGCTTTTTTTTTTTTTACTCTCTCCGGGAACCTGAGTTGCTGATAGAAAATTTGTCGTCGACAGCTTTCGCATTTTCAAAGTTCAAACTTTAAACTTCACCCATCTCTCTCTCGCACTCTCCCTTTCTCCCTCTTGTTCCCTTCCGTAGGCGTTTCAAGATTTTTACGCCAGAAAATACGTTGTACGATTTAATTCCAAAGATTTTCAAGTATCTTGGTACTTTAAGGTGCTGCTTTCGAGGCCTTGAAAAGAGAATCTTTTTTGTTCTTTTTTTCCCTCGTTCCTCGAAGAATTTTCGAGGGGTTTTCTTGTTCGGTTTCTCGGTTTCGGTCGGTATTTGGAGTTTCGAGGGAAAGTGAAGATCGTTGACGGACGGGCTTTTGGAGTCGCTGGTGATTGGAGAGGGGAAGTGACTGTTCCCGGTGGCTTTCTGATTTTGACGTTCATAGTTTTAGGGTTTATGATCGGGTTGTGTTCTTGAGGTTTTCTTTGGATGTTTGGAATAAGCTATTTTCAGGTCTGTTTATCTTCCGTAGAATTTTTTTTTGGAGCTGAATCTTTTCCACGTTTTGCTTGCTTGCTGATCAGTTTTAGCCTTCCCGTATTACTTCTGTCATTTTCAGGGCGTTTGACGAGCTTGTTTTATGCCCCGACCGATTTCATATGGTATCAGTCTCCATTCTACAATCTGTAAGTATTGGAAAAATTCTGTGGGAAATTGGAAATAAAGTCCGTCTCTTTCGTTATTTCTGGTCTTCTTTGATAGTTTATGCTGAAATGTGCTTGGGAATTGAGATCAAGTGTGGATAGCATCCACGTCCTCTCAGTGAAAACCTTAACCATTGACATTCTTGTTTCCAGCATTAAGTTAAGTTTTACCCATATTCTTTTGGCAAATACCCCTTTTTCAGGAGATTTTAAATTTCTTAGCAAGCATGTATATTACTGTATTTGTGTGGGCAGGTAATTCTTTTAATTGAAGTAGGATGCATGAAAAACCACGTATATATTTTGCAATGGAATTAGCTTTTAAAAGCACACGGATTTATCCCTACACCACCATTGTGTTAACTGAACACTTCTTGGTTGGCACTCAATACCCTGTATACACATTCAGTGCATCAGACACTTGACAGATGACCGGTTGTGATAGTGATGGGTGTATCCAGTTGGGATGGTTTGCATGTGGATTGCTTGACTGGTAAAGCTAGCGTAAGGTCCATATATAATATATATAATGGAACATATAGTGGTTTATGGATAGAAGAAGAGAATCTTTGTAACAGGCTTAGGCTTTTTTCTTGAGCAGGTCATTTACAACATTTACTTCGTAGTTGTATATTTATTCATGGTGATTGCTGCAATGTCAGCCTTCAGCATTTGCTGCTTAGGCAGATAGCTTACGCTTTTTTTTTTTTACCCCTTCAGAAAAAAGGAGAGGGAAGGGTGAGAGAAACAGCATACTAGTAACTGAGTATGGCATCTGAAGTTCTATATGTAGATGGTCATTCTTTGCAATTTCGATTATAATCTATATTTCAATTTCTTTCTTGTAACAGGTCTTTGATTGATTGGTTTCGGAGTTTAATATTCACATAGAACACGCTATGGTAGCAAAAACTCGGCAGAATGGTACTAACTCTCCAAGTCCAAAACCAGAGGTTGGAGAGATTGATACCAGTCCACCTTTTCAGTCTGTTAAGGATGCAGTCAATCTATTCGGTGAAGGATCTTTATCTGGGGAAAAACCTGCAATTAGAAAGGCAAAGGCTTATTCTGCTGAGGTAATATTGGTTTTCCAGTTGTGTGAGTTATAATATAATATATAAATCTGATATGAAATTGTAAAACTATTTCTGAAAATTGCATTTCATTTAATTGTTTCCTGCAATATTTTTAGTGTAAAATTCGGCCTTAAAGTTGCTCTAGAAGTTCTGAATCGAATTTTGTGATCCTAGTCTGTATCGTGATGGAAAATGTTAAATTTTTAACGTGAAAATAATTTGGGAACACAATAAGTTAATAACAATATATCATTTGCGGTTGTTCAAATCATTCACTATTTCGCTGGTCAAATTGGGTCTCTAAATGTAGGGCTAGGTTATTTAAATTTTCTCCCGCCTTTGGGGATATCTGTATTGTAGTCCATTGGGCATGTGATGAATCTTCTCAGATGTTTTCTTCCCTTACATGCTTCATTAAGTTCTCCACATCCTAGAGCTGAATTTAATTCAATTTTCAATATTATGTCCGTAAAAGGGGTGTCGGGAGTAAGTTAGGCTTATATTCATGCTACAAAAAGGGGCTTTTATCTAACAAATTCGGCTCATAAAAATTTATGCCTACCCTGATATTATATTTCTAAGCCAAAACTGCTCTTGTTTAGGTCGGTATACTTTCCAATTGAAAGTATTGCTAGTTTATTAGCATGCCAATTCAATAAGAAGGAATTATATTATTTTCTGATTAGACTTGCGTATCATAAATTACTCCAATGTGTCAAGGGACGCTTGGTCATCTCTGTGTAGCTCAACTTAATATCTAACAGGAAGCATGATGAATTTTAGTTTTAATGGCTACATTGTTTTTAATGATAAATGATTTTATCTGAAGCTATAGTATTTTTTTTTTTTTTTTGAGACTGTGAAAGTGTGCGTGTGTTTCAAAATATCTAAAAATCATTATATTATTTACTATTGAAGCATCTATTCATTGGTCTTCCACTCTTCCTCTCACATTTGTGGTATTTTTTATTCTTATTTGAAATAACAACGATTTTGGTTGCAAGTGGTGTGACTTTGTAATTCGGAACCAGCAGAAAATAGATCCAACAACAGAGGGAAAGGGGGAAGTTTGTAATTATGACTCAATATTCACTCTAAGTTGTCCATTCACTTTGAGAGGGACCTTTGTATAGAACTCAGGAGAAGGAAAGAAATAAATAAAATAAAATAATAGTGAGGGCTGAACGTATATAACATCATTAAAGCGTTAATTCCTAGGATGCTTCATGTATGTGGAGGGATTGGGACTTGTTTGGTATGGTCTGGGGCAGCTTCATCTACTCCAATAAATACTTTGTTGAATTGTTTCCTACATATCTGATACGCAATTACCAGATGGAACTGTGTCCAATGAGAGACCACTAATTTTAAGCATCTAATCATGTTTCTCTTTTGGGTATCCCTTTTATGCTTAGCTGCAAACTTGCTTCACTTTTTCCCCCCTTCTATTTTAATTTGCCAAGTTGGTTGTTTCATGTAGAGAGTTTTGGCCAAGGAGACACAACTTCACTTAGCCCAGAAAGAGCTAAACAAATTAAAGGAGCAGCTGAAGAATGCTGAAACCACTAAAGCTCAAGCCCTAGTGGAGCTTGAAAAGGCTAAAATAACCGTTGATGATCTGACGGAAAAATTAAAGGCTCTAAGTGAATCCAGGGAACTATCCGTAAAGGCGACTGAAGCTGCTAAAAGTCAGGCGCAACAGCTTAAAGAAGAAAAGTATGGTGACCCTGATGGAAATAATGGTGCCTGGAAAGAAGATTTGGAAACTGCAGTTAAGAAGTATGCATCCGTTATCACAGAACTTGATGCTTCTAAGCAGGAACTGAGGAAGATTCGTCAGGAGTGTGATTCATCCTTGGAAGCAAGACTTTCTGCTTTCAAGCTAGCATCAGAGGCTGAAGATTCGATGAAGGCAAACACAGAAAGAGCAGCTGAGCTCTCTAAAGAAATTTCCGCTGTGCAGGAATCAATTGAGCAAATGAAGCTTGCTACTGTGCAAGCACAGCAAGACCAAGCTAGGATATTGGCCGAGAAAGATGTGCTGAGACAGTCGTATAGAGCCACCCTTGAAGATTCACAAAAGAAATTGCTTGCTTTGAAAAAGGAATTCAATCCTGAGCTCATAAAAAATCTTGAGGTGCAGCTGAACGAGACAATGACTGAAATTGGGGCTCTGCAAAAAGAAATGGAAAGTAAGAAGACTTCAGACTTAGATACCGTGAAAAGTGTCACATTGGAGCTTGATGATGCTAAGGGATCATTGCAGAAAGTTGCTGAAGAGGAAATGTCTCTTAGAAGTTTGGTGGAAGCTCTTAAGGTGGAATTGGATAATGTGAAAAGGGAGCATTCTGAATTGAAGGAGAAAGAATCGGAAACTGAATCAGTTGTGGGGAATCTTCACGTCAAACTCCGGAAAAGTAAGTCTGAGCTGGAAGCGTGCATGGCAGAAGAGTCCAAGGTTAGAGGTGCATCTGACGAAATGATCATGACACTGAATCAATTGTCATCTGAAACTGAAAATGCACGGAGGGAAGCTGAAGATATGAAGGCTAAGGCTGAAGAAGTGAAGAAGGAAGCTGAACTCACCAAATTTGCATTAGAAGATGCAGAGAATAAGCTTAGAGTAGCGCTGGAAGAAGCAGAAGCAGCAAAAGCAGCCGAGGCAAGTGCTCTTGATCAGATTAGGGTCTTATCTGAGAGGACTAGTGCAGCGCGTGCATCAACTTCTGAATCTGGTGCTAAAATTACAATTTCAAAGGAGGAGTTTGAATCGTTGAGTCGAAAAGTTGAGGAGTCTGATAAATTAGCAGAAATGAAAGTAGCTGCTGCCATGGCACAGGTTGAAGCTGTGAAGGCCAGTGAACAGGAGGCAATCCAAAGGTTAGAGGCAACTCAGAAGGAGATTGACGATATGAAGGCGGCTGCACAGGAGGCCTTGAAAAAGGCTGAGATGGCTGAAGCTGCAAAGAGAGTCGTGGAGAATGAGCTTCGCAAATGGCGTGAACGGGAGCAGAAGAAAGCGGCAGAAGCTGCATCGCGTATATTGGCTGAAACACAGATTTCATCAGAGTCATCTCCACTCCATTATTCGATTCAAAAGCATGTTCAACCTCCAAAAGCTGTGGAGGTGCGCAAGTTGGAGAAAGAAAAGGTTTCGATTTCAAAGAAGGTACTCTTGCCTAATATATCTGGCATCTTTCACCGGAAAAAGAACCAGGTTGAGGGCGGATCTCCATCTTACCTGCCCGGTGAAAACCCAGTGTGAAATTTGTTACAGTGTGCGGTTCATGAATGTGAGAAGCATATGGCTTGTGTGTAGTTGAGACCAATGTGAACAGATTGTGGTGGTAGTGTTTGAGGAAAAGAATTGTGAAATGTCCATAGTTTTCTGTAAAGGGACCAAGTAGTATTGTTTATATATCGGTATTTTGCTGCTGCTATTGATCTTTCATGCAGGTGGGAGGTCTTTCAATGGACTCTTTGATGATGACTACTAAACTTGTTAAGTTTCAACCACTCTTTGACCTTTACTGCTCCGCTGCGAGACGTAGGGCTGAAGCAACCCCTGGCCACGTGCTTGATGCTTCAACATTTTGCACAAATTTTAGAATGTTGGAACACGTATAGATAATTAGATATAACCACCCCCTCCCAAAAAAAACCCCAAAAAAAATGCTTCAGGAGCAACAGATAATTTTATTTAGATAATATTAATAACTTAATATTTATTTCGTTTTGATGAAGTGGTTAGAGGTGTTGAGATGGAGTACTTCTTGGCAGTATGGGAGGATCCTCCTGAGTAAGTAGTATGATTAATTGCGGATCAAACAGAGTTTGACTGTTGAGGTTGCGTGGAAAAAAGTAGGTGCCAGATTAAGGTGAAGTGGCAATAGAAGTGGTTGGTTGAGTCATTCAAATTGGCTGTTCTCGCTAAGGCAGCATGTGGCTGTGGCCATGTCATTCGATTCTGTTCATGGTAAGTGATAACACATACTCCTCTTTTTTTCTTTTTTTAAATAACAGATGACACATACTTTTCTTGCTGAGAAAAATAACATTTAACAAATCTCTTCAGAAGATTAATTACAATTAAAGATTTTGAAATTTTAGAACAGAGTCATGATACTCAATTGGAATTAAAACATTTGTGCTACTTATTAATACTCTTTTTTTTTAAAAAAATTTTAAGACCCATCTTTCACGTTTTCAGTATTCATTTTAAAACCCAAATATAGTTTTAAAATTAATTTTATGGTATACAAAATAAATATATAGAAAAGTTTGTTTCAATTTGTTAAAAAAATTCTTTTTAGAAGAACTTTTGTCCAATATCAAACACGCTCTTAATGTTTTCAATACTCTTTCATGTTTCCAATGCCGAAAGAAAATCAAATCAGAGTGTTTGAAACAAGCGAGAATTACATGAGGTCCAAACAAGAAAAAAATTAAAAAAAAACCCCAAAGATTGTCATTCTCACTATAAGACTTATTATTATAGGCTATTGAAATTGTTATTAGAACTTTTTGGTAATTATTTTTCTTCTGTGAGATTTGGTTGTAATTTTCCCTTGAAACAAGAAGATGAGCGGCTATTGTAAAATAATTAAAAAAAACTAAATAAATGCTGACAATGGCTGAGGAGAGTTCAAAATAAATACTATTTGTTTTAAAATATATTGCTGAAAGTTTTTACCACCATTTGTTTCAAATCATTTATTCAATGAACAGTTCACAAACTAACAGAATTTGGCTGAAGAGAGTTCTTATCCTTCTTGTTTCTGACCGCAGCTTTCTAACCCTCCAATCAACTCACAGTATTTATCAATATATCAATCATATTCAACAGAGGGATAGAATAAGATGAAGAAAATAACATGGCCTGTCCCATTCTTGCATATACCACTGCTTTACTAACTTGGGTACCGAAATTCATATGAACGCAAAACTTGTGAGGAAAATTGCTATGGCCTAAGCAGATTCAGAAGCAGGAGGACTCGTGGGGTGGCTTATAACCAAAGGCGGGCGCAAAGCCTTATGATTTGCCTCTTTCTGCTTACGAGCTTTATACATCTCTTCTGTTTCTACAACGACCAACCTTTTCACCTATAACAAACCAGAAAGTTCCCGGTAGCATGTTAAGACCAATATAAAATCAGCCACCGAAACAAACATGTGTGTTTGTGTATTATGCACAAAGTTAGTAGGGACCTGTTGGAGCATTCCCCTGATACTGGGATTGTTCTGACGCACAACAGTACGGTTACATTTGCGAAGGCATAAAGCCTCTAAAGTACGCCTGTGGAGTCTCCTGGTGCCTGGAATTCCCCTTACAAGGGTTATATATAGTTTTGGGCTCCAGGCTACCGGAACACATGCTTTGAAAGCTTTAAAAGCATCCATTTTAGCCTACAGGACAACTTGGCAGGGCATTAAATTAGTGAAGCACTAAGAAAGATGAACAATCAAGGCGAGCTACAACAAAACTAGTAGCCGTGCAAAAGCCATATTGAGGCATGTGTTCATTGAACTTGAACTTGCATGAATGACATGAAGTAATTAAAACTGCATTTCTTCCAAAGCCCTAGCATTAGTGCACCTAACTAAAACTGAACTGGGTAAATTATCATTAAAGCATATGTTGGAACTTGGAAATGCAGAAAACCTGAAACTAAAAAATCCTAGAAAATGCACAGGTGAGGCACATTTGTGATGTACATTTGAATTTTGATATGTGAAATAAAAACTCATGACTGAAGACTTATGAATTTAAGTTAATGGAAATATTTTTTCCTTTGGATAGTAATTATAAAAATATGGTTCTCACTAGTAGCTGGTAATTGCCTTAGAACAGTATGAGATTTTATTTAATGCTTAACGTGCTTGCGCACAGAATGGTTTTAGTCATGACCAAGGCTCCCGAATTGTCACTTATAGAACTTAAGCACGCCTAGCACAAACCAACCAAGGAATATGGACTCACTAATCCAACTTCCAGCACATCACTTAATCTACTTATCCCATCGAATTTTGGGGGCATATAAAAAAGATGGTGATGACTACATATGTTATCAGATTAAACTTGCCAAGATAGAGATGCCAGATAAGACTAAAGTGAATCAACTAGCTCACATCGTCTTCCCCCTAACTAATAGGAGCAGGCTAATAGCAGTGTTTCACAAGTATCTATTATTGCACCTTCAAATCGGTTAAGCGTCATCAACTAGCAAAAAGTTAGGAGAATGCTATAATACACAGGAAAATTTGGAGCAATCCCAAAAACATCATTCATTCCATATCTCTTCTCTATATATACAATGAATATTTCAAATTCACAGCACAGACAGATATTGGGAATGAAAATGTAAAACGGATTAAGAGCTAAGAATGAAGACCAGAGAGCAGCGGATTTTAGTTTTACAGCATGAAATTAAGCATAGACAAAACGCATCCTAATTAGGACCACGAGATATGATTATGAAAATCGACTTTGTGGAAGTCCAATAGATAATTCACTTTCTACATATCTTTCTGTTCAGACCGTTTCTGCGGCGATAATGTTCCTCTACGTTCACATTTAACCCTATTTCTCCCTCCCTCCCTCCCTCTGTTAGCCTCAAGCTGTCAACCCAACCCATTATTATTCCCATAATCCCATCAGAAAAATTAGGCAAGGACCAAGCGAGACACAGAGAGGAACTCAACCTGACAACCGTGGCCTTCAGAGGAAGAGGGAACGCAGTCGACGCCGGAGCTACGACGGTGAGACGACGTTGAGACGTTTAGACTTCAGCGTGAGAGTGAGGGATCAGCGAGACAGAGGCTGCGACAGTTGGGGCACACTGGCATAGGGTTGGGGATTGCCTACCACTGATCCAAACGACGTCGTTTGAGTCAAAGGGGTGAGTTTTTTACCTCTTCCAGCCAAAAAAAAAAAGGACAGAGAGAGAGACCGGCTGAACCGGTTCCAGCATTATTCGGGACTGGACATGACATTTCTGTTTTCTTGGCCGTGGCGCTTCGGTTCTGTCATCATTGCTAAAGCACGCTCCGCTTTCACTGGCTCTCACTAGGATACTCTGCGAGAGAGAGAGAGAGCGAGCGAGAGAGAAAAGTCGTTGTTTTGATGGTGATGATGATGGGCAGCAACAACAGAGACAGAGAAGAGGCTCTCACATTCATCACCAACCCATCTTCTTCTTCTTCTCCAATCACCGTCTCTGACCAGCTCGACTGGTACCTCACGGACCCCACTTCCCTCATCGGAAGTGCCTCTGGAAGTTTCCAGAGCGACAGTCTTCTTGGCCTCGGTGAACCCGGAAGCACCAACTTGGACCTAGAGTTCGGCTTCTCCCGACCAGATTTCAGGCAGAGCCCGCTCGCCGGGACCGTCGAGTTCTATCAACGGCATGTCTTTCTTTGTTACAAGAACCCGCGGTTTTGGCCTCCAAGAATTGAGGCTTCCGAGTTTGATCGCTTGCCTAGGCTTCTTTATGCCGCCGTCATGGCCAGGAAGAGCGATATGAAGAAGGAGGTAGTGCTGCATTCTAATTTATTTAATTTCATTCCTGAAATGTTTCGAGTGCTGTTGTTGGTCTTTCGTTCTTCTGTGCTACTGAGTTGGTTTTTAAGTGAAATTGGTGTAATGGATATTGGATTCTGTTGCATACTGCTTCTGAGCGTTTTCTTTCGACCAACGTGTGAGTCGCTTTTACAATGTATGCAAGTTCCAGGACGGATCGTGAAAGCAGTTGATTTTCTTGGACTGATACCTTGTTTTTTTTTTTTAAACAAATTTGCTAAGAGGGTTCTTGCTTTGCATTTAATTTATGGCTTATTCGAGGAGAACTTACCAAGGCAAGGATTCTTTATTTCCTTTATCATATTGGAAACTGACACTAACGTATATGAGTTGAGGTTCTTGCGTTGTTCTTGAATCAAGCAAAAACATTTGTCATTACCGATATTAATCTATCTTGCTGCCTAGCTTGTTTTATTTGTCAGGTCAATCTTATTTAGTTATGTGTAGTTCAAGCATAGCTTTAACCTTGTACATTTTTCTACACTCTTTAATGTATGCAGTTATAGATAAACAGCAACATACAAAGGGCCAGATGTCTTCAGTAGTCCAAGAGTTGCATGACCATTGTCCATTTTCCATTTACATTTGTTTCAATTTACAAGAAACATCATATCGTTAGTAAATTTGATTCTGGGTCTATTACTCTAGGATGGATTAATTGTCATCTGCAACATTGTTGTAAAGCAGGAGGAGTTATCTCTTACATTACAGATTTACCTGGAGTGTCGGCTGTCTTTGAAAATGAATGAATAACTTTACATTGATTGGTGTGACGCTTTCTTAAGTCAGTTAAATTATTAACTGCATGCCTTTTTTGATATTGTGAAGCTGTTGTTTTCTTTTTGTTTTGTATTTTATTTTAGCCTTTTATGATTATGTTGGCTGTGTCTGATTGTCTTCAACTTCTCCTTTTGGTAGACCCGTTTAACAATATGCGAGGGACATGACGGGACTGAAACATCAAATGGAGATGTATTAATCTTTCCAGACATGATCAGATACAGGTTAGTACAAGTTCAGTTTTCCAACTTTGGATTTTGAATAGTCTTCATGTTTTTGCCCTGATTCATAACCAACAACATTGTTAGTGAAATTGCAGGAGATTGACTCATTTTGATGTTGAAACATTTGTTGAAGAAGTGCTTGTAAAGGATGGAGAATGGCTTCCTGGATCTCCTGAACCGTTAAAAGGTTCACACATTTTTGTGTGTTCACATGGTTCCCGTGATCGTAGATGTGGTGTTTGCGGACCTGTCTTGGTAAATAAATTTAGGGAAGAGACTGAATTACTTGGTCTTCAAGGTAAAGTGTTTGTTAGCCCATGCTCACACATTGGGGGGGATGAGTACGCAGGAAATGTCATTATATTTGGATCAAGCATCAATGGAGATGTCATGGGGCACTGGTAAGGAGGGGTGGCCTGGTCATTAGCTTCCTTTTGGTGACTGAATTTTCCGTTTTCTTTTTTTGGAATATATACCTAATAGTGACTTGATTAGTATTCATTTCAATTTATATACATAGGTATGGGTATGTTACTCCCGATGATGTGCCTGTTTTGCTTCAACAGCATATTATAAAAGGGGAGATTTGGGACTCACTGTGGAGGTAAATATATTATAATGCTTCTATGGTAAAGTGTGTGTGTGTATATATATATATATTATAACGCTTCTTTTCATAATTTTAATTTGACAGTTCTGCTTCTGCTCAAGTTGTATCATTTATAAGACAATAGCCGACCTGGGGTGTGCTGGTTTGTCAGGGTTTAGAAATTCATTCCTTGTGAAGGTTGTAGAAGTAGTTCAAGTAGGCTAAGCAAGGGGATGATCCCAGCTGAAGTGGAAGCCATGCTCCTAATGCATGTTGTAGTTTGATAGGCAAAGTCTCTAAGAAAAGCTTGGGAAGGTTAATAGAAAAGTGTATTGATCAACACAAGTTTCTAAGTAAATGGCAGAGTTAAAAAATTCTGACACCTTTCATCTAAAAAGGAAAATAAATCTATTCACCAAAAAAATAAAAAAAAGGAAAACAATTCTTTCACAGCCAGATCATGTTGAAAAGCATAAAGTGTATTCTCTCAATCAATGCCCCAGAAAGACGTCTCAAGCAGTACTTCTAATGTGAAGATTTATTCCGCCCTCAGTAGTATTGCTTTCTTCTTATTATAATGGCAAAAAAAATCCTTGTTTCACCCATAACTTATCAAGGACACCTCCTGCTGCTTACTCTTCTTGAGGAGGGAGATAATTTTGATCTTTCAGATTTATACACTCTCTTTCTGCTCAAAATCATCCAATTATTGGCTCTGGTAAAGATTTTTTGTATTTGATGCAACTTTGTATATTGCCATCAGGGGTCAGATGGGTACACAAAAATCTGATGCAAAATCTCAGGGCAACTCTGTGAGCTGCTGCCAGCAAAACGAGAACTTCTCTTCCTGCCGGGACAGTGAGGAAAAGATTAGTACTTCTGGTGCCATGGAGGCGGAAGCAAAACTTTCAGCTGACAATAATTGCAGCAGCGGCAGCATCAAGAGACTGGTTTCTCGAATAAATGGTGGCAGAGGAGCGTCACGGCGAAAATCCATGCCAATGTGGCTTGATGGCTGGGAGCCAGAAGATACCTATGCTGCTCTTGCTGTTGTCTTTGCCGCTGTGTCTGTAGCAATTGCCTATAGCTGCTACAAACAGCTGAAATAGGAAGGAACAACTGATTTGCTGTGTTTTTTAGCATGGTGTGTCAGATAATTTCTATTGTCTCTGTACATTGTAGTCTAATGCTAGTGCAGTGCTTGTGTATATCCGTTATACTCAGAATGATCACCCTTTCCTTTTCGGGGCAATTTTTTCCGGGAAAATCTGAACGATGAAGATAAGAACATTAATAGAGTTTGGGTGGAACTAATCTGTAATGTCTCTCATTTTTAGTATCAAAGTCTATAGCTTTGGTTTTCCCAGAACCTGTCAACTTGTCCTAGAGTTCGCATGTTGGCAACGTTATTTCCAGAACGCTACACTATTAAGGATCCTTGCCATTAATGTTGAGATATGTTTCGCCAGAACAGAATCATGTTGGTTGGATTAATTGTTAAGAGATAGACGCGTTTGTGGTAAGCTGTACTTACGATTAGTTGGTAATTGTTCTATCGAATCTTACGGATGGTCCGTGCCGCTTACAAAGCCATGTCATATCAGTTGGTGTTTGCCAATTCGGCCTGTTAGATCTTTTCTCGTTAAATTTTATTGGACAAAGCCATGTCATATCAGTTGGTGTTTTGTGGTTCAAGATGTCCGCATCAAATACGTTTGCAAAACACACACACACACATGTATATATTAGATCGTTTGCAGTTTGCACGTCTAATTTTTGATTCCATTATATTTAATACTTTATAATGGAATTTGTTATGATAAAAAAATCTATTTCTCTAAATAAAAAATTCAAAATTTCTCTTAATTATTTATAATTTGAAAATATGTGCCATGCATTCCAAATTGTGCTGAAACTCTCTTATTTATTAAATTTTTTTATCACAAGGGCTCAAACTCAAAAGTCCTTGCATTGAAACGGTCATAAAAACCTTCTATTAATAAGTTTAATACCGATAATCATCCAGACATATATCTTCTTCAATCAATTGAAATATTTACAGAAACATTAAAAAATATAAATATTCTAAACGCCATTGATTTGTTTCTTTCTTGAATTCTGCAGCGTCAACAACTCTCTCTCTCTCTCTCTCTCTCTCTCTCAGAGAATGAATAAACAACATTAAAAACGTGATATCATGAATGCTGATTCATTCTGTACTTCACGACCTGTCGTTTTTGTCTTCACGCCCTTAAGTGGCCCGTGACTTCATCAATCACAAGTTCCCAACAAATATATATAATATGTGCACCGACAATTTTGACTTCTTGCAGTTAATTAAGCTAAGCAACCACGCTGGAGCTTTTGAATTACTGAATTGGGATTATAGTATAATACAAAGAGATAAAGATACTGCGAACTATGAGGTCAATTTTTAATGAACTTTTTCTGTTATCTCCCACAATAATATAATATTAGTTTTAATTTTACCCATGAACCTTTCAAAATTTCAACTATTTACGGTTCCCCCCCAGCTTTCGTGTTGAACATAATCCAAAACATAAACATTATCTCAACAAATGATTGCTTCCCCATTTATTATTACCCTCTTAACTCATTTAAATAAATTAAAAATATTAATTAAGTTAGCTATTTGTTATAAATATGAGCTGATTTTCTTAAAATATTATTTTTCATTCTGACTACTCTTAGCGGAAAACTCCTTAACATGTGTAATAAATAGGAACACTTTAAAGAATAAATTGTAATTTTGGGAGACAAAATATATTAAAATATTATATTTAGGACTAAATTAAATTCCTAACTAATTTTTATATTAAAAATCAGAGGTGGTATAATATTATTATTCAATTTGTAAACTTAAACATCGGATTATTGTTGGGTTGATAATTCGAGGGCAAATCTGGCAAACAGGGAATGCTCCCTGTTTCAGGCCTCTTGAAAAGTAGGGATCTGGATTGGATCAACTTTGTGGGACGCTTGGTCCGAAAGAGTTCAATAGTATAATAGAATTATGGAATGGGGCAGGTAACGCGTAAGGTCCAAACTCCAAGCTCCAAACATGGAACGTTACAGTTGAAACAAAATACTCCAGGAAATCTTTATTGAGATACTAATTGACTCATAAGGTTTATTAAGGCAAAATCAGAAAAAGTAAAATTAGCCACATATATAGTCATGCATCGAGCTGATGCGAGCATTTCAGTATTACGTCCGACAAGTTCGTATATATAACTTCTTCTTCTTCTTCTTTTTCTTTTGGGAAAAAAATAGCGTAGCACCCTTTATCAAAAAGGGTCATAAAGTGTTTAATTGTAAGCGTCTTGAGGTCTGAAATAGTACAGAAAAGTGTTGCCAGTAAGTATTCTCAGGGTTTCAATGGCTTCAGTTGCTATTAACTACGATTCCCAACCTGTGGAACTGTGTTTCAATGGTTCTGGCAATTCTGGCATCATCTGGGTCTGGCTCTGGTAAGTCTACATGGAAAGATCCCTGTCTCGTTGGAACCACGGACTCCCTAGCTGTAGCTCGCTGCTTGATAAAATTGTAGAGTTCTTGATGGAAGGCGTGATCAAAGGAGAAGCAATTTTCAGAAGTTCCTGCAGCATTGTTATGTCGAGATGACTTTGAACTCTCCTTTCTGCAGAAGTGTGGGAGAGATGCAAAGTCCATGACCTGCTTTCAAGTTCGAAAATGGTTTAGTATGCCGATTTTCTTGCAGTTAGAACTCAATCAATCTATAAGGAAAAAAAGACAGGACAATGATAACGGAGCTTTTATTTCTTCTTTGACAAAAACGGTACAAATAATGGGAAATATAAAAGGAAGCCAAACCAATCTAAACTCCACAGTTTGTTTGGACGGTGTGTGATGGGGGAGGGAAAATCAGAGAAGAGACTGGAGAACTCATCTTAATTCACCCCACTCAATTTACTTTTTAGTTTTTACCATCTGCCCATCCAATCCATCCTCCCAAACAAAAGCCCCAAGTGGCTTGATAATGAAACTTCCAATTTCTCAGGATCAATTTCATATGAACAATGAAAGATAAAAGATAGACAATAATATTATATCTCAGGGAGGTAATTGCAGATATCTTCTACCTTGAGTAACTCATCTCTCCCACAACCTTGCAGCACCTGGATCTTCTTCCTTGTTCTTTCTTGCAAAAGAGGCTTTACAACCTGCCAATTGTTCATGAAATAATAATGTTGTTGTTGTTAATCCTTGGGCTTTATATGGTATAAAGAAAGGAGCAGTCCAAACTCTTGAACCATATGAAGCACAAACCTTCCAACATGCAGAGAATACATATGGCGTGTTAACTATATAGTACGTGTCTGTCTTTTCTGGGTAGTTCAAGTCATCTATGGTAGATATTGCTGTCAGAAGCTGCAGATGTTCAAGCAGAAAGTGTTATCCAGGAAGACATTAATAAGATGGAAGTGAGAAACCTTCACTTAACATCAATGAAGACAAACTCCAAACAAGGGACTTTCACATGATGAAAGGAATCAACAAAAAGATGGAAAAGAAAAATGATACAAGCTTCAGAGTTCTAGTCATACCCTCAATTGGTTCAATGCTGATATCTTTAAACCAGTCATATCAAAGACTTTCACACAGGTGCCAATGAATCGGCCATGCTTCTTTGTAGCTGTTGGCTAAGACAAAGAAGTCAAATAAGCAAGCAATGAACCAAAGAATTGGTGTCAGCAGTTTAATTAAAATTATTGTAGATGCTTACCAATATCACTCGATCTCTGTACTCGTTCATTTGGATGTGCGACTGTACATAGTAATGCTCCTGAATGTTCAATATCAAATAGGTTAAAAATAGGTCCAGGCTCCAGATGCCATGTGAATACTAAATACTGCGGCATCATTATTGAGGTATGCGATTTTTTGTCTCTGTAGAAGCTTTCTTACGTGAAAAATTACACCAAGAAGTTATAAAATAAAAACTCAGAAAATAAGAAAGAACAGTAGGTCAATTAATCTGGAAAAAAATGTTGATATTGTGGTTTAAAAACTAGCTCTGACCAAACCCTCAGCCTAGTCAAATATGAGCACACGGAAGAGAAGTTGAAAATCAGTGCACAATCAAGCCAATACAATCTTCTTTCTTTATCTTTCCAAATTTTCAATCATGTCCAGTTTTCTATATAACATCTAGTTAACACTAATTATACTCTTGAGAAAGCGATGTGCTATATCTCTACCCTTCACTGTCGGAGCATAAGCATCACATGTCCAAAATAAAACTAAAAAGTGGCATGCTGCATCATGAGCATGATCTCCCAACCTTTTCCCTCACATATGCTGCAAAATGAGATAGGAAATATATTCTAACTCAATATTAGATTGTGATTCACAAACAATGCAATTTCTTTAAGATGTGCAGATAATCCCATTGTTTCTACAGATTCTTATTGTCCGATGAGCCAGTTTTCCTTTTTAATTATCTGGCACCATTTATGCATCAAGGAATGTGATCCTTACTGGTGCTTTGTCATATGCGCTGAGCCCAACACCAACAGCAATGACAGGTAAACCCTGGCATCATCAAATGGAAAAGGAAATAAATTAACAATCATATATTAATTAGAAGCACAGTGGATTTTCTACATGGATGTTGTGTGGCCTGTTTATCAACATAATTCACACCAGGAAAAGCAGGGAAAATCCATGGGAGAGGAAGAATATTAAAAAACTATTACAGAAAGCCGGGTCAAATCACGCATGTTCATAAATAAACAATCATATATTTAACTAGAAGCATAGCAGGTTAAATCAGTTATGCTTATTTACATAACTTATACGGCGAAGAGCAGGGAAGATCCATGAGGGAGGAAGAATAAAAACATTTATTCCAGAAAGCACTCGACTTAGCCATGCTTGGTCCTGTTGGTATTGCACAAATTGAGCTAATATGAGATCTATCTAAAAACAGGAATACCTCTCTTGTGTAACCAGGCATTCCTATGAGTTGAGAATCTCGCACAGCTCTATACAAGTCAGCGGGGATTGGTCTCTGTTAAAACAAAAACATAAAGGCCAATAATTTACAACATTAAATCAAAGATGTTCACGAATTATAAGAAATATAAAAATTATGCTACTATGATGTATATATTAAAGTTTATAAGGATGTTACATGACAAGAGAAAACCCATTCCTGTCATAATTACCTATTAATGAGATTTTCTTCCCTTCTCTAATCAAAATCAACTCAGACACGCTGTTATTGATTCTACAAAATCAATCATGTTTATTATGTTTTGGCTGAGAAAATCTAATCACTTAAGGTAGTCTACATGGATCATCCTTCATTAAATATAAATTAGCACACATCCCAGAATAACAAATCATAAGTACCCCATCTTCAAGTTGTTGTCTTAATTATTCACCTATATTTGTCTTATGGCCCACTAGAAGAATATATATGAGTAAATCCAACAGATCTGGGATATGAAAAGTTTTTGAGACATGTAAACTTCCATTATTCCACAAATCTCAGATGCAAGCTTTTCTAGTACAAAATGAGATATTAAAAATCGACAAACTTGAGCACAGAAATTTCAGGAATGGATAACCAGAAAAGAAAATACAAACTCATGAATCGCATGATGAAGGAACTCACCGTTAAGACATTATCAATCTCATTTTCCACTCTCCATTTTAAGCAATCAACCAACTGCAAAATTTTAAAAAATCAGCCGTTTCTAATAGGAACAGAATTCCTACCACCAAAAAAAAAAAAAACATACTAAGCATAACAGATCTAACCATTTTATGGGCTTTGGCAACATTCCAGTCCCTTGCTTTGAGAAACTGTATAAATGATTCACCTGGATAGCCCTGGTGCATATTCTGAAATAAAAAGACCAAACTCTTAAGAGTAAAAGAAATATTCACAATAGCAGTAAAAAGATTGCAAGAATAAATTATCCAGTCTCACTTGTTCATACTAATTCCACAATTTTGATGGGCTAATAGTTAGCTAAAACGCATAACAAACAACTTGAACTATTTCCCTTCCTTCTATATTTTGATATTATATCACTCCACCATTTCCACTCCTTCCATTTTCACCTATACCAAGCAGAGCCTTAATTTGGTACAACAATACCCATATTCCTGAAAATTGTTGGTAAAATATAAATCTATTTTGTAATTTAGTTCAAGTATAATGAGTTTAGAACTATTGCTCATCAGTTATATGAGCAAAGGGGAAAACATCCTTCTACAACCAAAATATGACTGCTTTATCTTGCTGAAGAATTCTTAACAACTCCGAAGTACCAGTTATCCAGATCAAATTGTTAGAATAGTCAAAACAAGGAATCGTAATTTGACTACTGTCATGAGATGAACAAGATACAGATCATTAGGGATAACTTCTATCGATTCATTTCCCAATCTCCCGAAGCATTCTCACAGAAGAGATCAAGCTGCAACATAAAAAGTACGAAAAACCAAACCTGAAACGTGTTCTTCAGCTGCTCATCCACTGTAACAGTATACAAAACAACAAGAAAAACCAAGACGAAGAAATTAGTTGGTAATCAGCGGAGATCACATATGGCGGCATAACACAAGATGGGTCATTTTGCCAACCGTTTTCCATCAGAGATTGCATCTGCCTGATAGCCTCCTGATTACCAATACCCATCTTGTTATTCAGCTCAGATAGCTATAGAACAAAAATCTCCGAAGCTAACAAGCTAAAAAAATCAGCAACTTGAGTTCCAATTATTCGAATTGCTGATCCCTTAATCTCCCTAAAGAGAGAAAGTGATACTGATTAGCAACAAGTTTACATGGAATTTAAACTCAGTGATCCAGCAGTACAAGGTGGGAGACAGAAGAAAAGGAGCGAAGAAGAAGGTGGGATGCAGATTCTGGCTTTGTTTTGTCCACCACCTCCCCTCTTGAAAAGCAAAGCATGGAGGTATGTATTCTTTTGGCCTTAATTTAATGCAGCTTCCAATGAATTTCTGTGACGGAGGGAATCTGTTAAAAAGAATAGTATACGGCAAAAGGAAATATGTGATAATGTGAGGAGGAAGAAAAAGTTGTTTTCTTTTTTCTTTTTTCTTTTTTGGGGAAAATTTGCTCTATCAGTGGGTCAACTCAGAATTTTGACGATTTCACTAGAGAAAGCATTCACCTTTATTTTATTTTTTTCATTTTATAAAATTAAATGACCACACACAAATATGTTAATATCATATTCTAATTATCAGGATAACTTGCCTTGCCTTTGAATTGCCTAGTGAGACGATTGACTTGGTGAATTAGTCTCTTAGGAATTGAATTATATATTTTTTAACATGAAATAACATCGTTTTGGGTTAAAAAAATAGTAATTCATTGTATTTATATGTTCATTACTCTATTTTATTAGATTATTGTAGTTTAATATCCAATTTATTTATATTTTAATAAAAGCATATTATTTTAATTATGATTGTGTTAACTTTGTTTCAATCACAAGAACTATTTTTTTTGCCTACCCCAAGCACTATTGCCTTAACCAATTTAACGATGGATAACACAAGGCATATTTTTGTAAGATATACGCACAATTTTAGATTTGAATTGTAAATTTAAATTATTTACGTGCTTTTCAATATAAAATAAACCATTCCCATTGAAATGACGGGGGGAATATGTACTAATCACCCAATTAATTATATTTTTAAAAATATTTTATGGTTAGATGGGGTCAGTGGTGGGTGTTTTGCCAATAATAATTGAGAGTGATTTGGCATTAGATTCTAGTAGGGGTGTGCATGAGGCCCGCATGTCCAATAAGCCCTGCCCAGCCCGTCCTTGCCCTGCTTAAAATGGTTAGGGCTTTTACTGGGCAGGGTCGGGCAGCGGGCTGCAAAACGCAGCCCGCTCATCTTTCGGGCTGAGCATCGGGCAAGGGGTTTGCTCTGCCCAGCCCTACCCATGTGCAGCCCTAGATTCTAACGCAAGAATAATATATGTGACGCTCCATGTGTGATGATATACTACATTTTGTAATAATTTAATAATATTTTGACTAGATACTATTTTTAAATTAAAATATTGTATAATGAGGCATAAAAATTAATTTATTAAACATAAAGTAAACTGGAAAAACATATAGCTATGGTATCATCATATTAAGATTTGAATATAACTTTTTTAACAAAAACTAAAGTCAATGCGAAGTTGGAAAACAGCTATGATCAATATTTGATTTTCAACATGTTTATATAATCTAGATTTGTCAAATATTCCCTTAACTTTTCCTAAATTAACGGTTTCATCAATTGTTTAAGTTGTGAGATTTTTTTTTCCTTTTTTCTTTTATTGCCAAGGGAGATTTCAGGGTAAGAATATTTTGCGTAAAATTACTTTCAAAAAATAAAAATAAAAATCTTATATTTCAATATTTTATTTTGAGTCTTTTCTAACTCCTTTCGAGTAATTTTTAAACTTTAAATTTCTTATATAAATATTTTAATCTTTATATATGTATTTTTTTTAATAAAAAACGTATTGGCGTCTCGTTATGACAATTAATTAGATAGGTCATGGGTTGTTAAAAAAAAAAAGCTCTTTCTTTGCATAAATTTAATATTTTCTCGCGCCATGAGTAACTATTATTACTACCAAGCAAAAATTAATATTTTAAAAATCAGAAGCAAACTATTTTGGAATAAATAACTCTAACTACCGAAAAAGTTGATAAATAACCAAACTCGTGTTAACAAGAAGTTTAGGTATTACATAATTATTATATTACTGATAAAGCATCCAATATCTATATTTAATTTAAATATAGAAATTCATCTTATTTTAATTTCGCCTCGAGTCGGTCCAATATGTTAGTTCAATTCACCATGCAGGTCGTTCAATTATGTCATATTCAATTCACCAATTTAATTATCAATTAGATTGCCTATAAAATTTAAACACTCCTCCGGTCGATCTAATTTAAAAGTTAATGTTGATCCTATATATAAAGCCTATTTTATATGTTTATCAATTTTTTAAAAATTAATCCTATTGATATTCCCTCAATAATAATTAAATAGGAAACGGAGAGAGGAAATTAAGAAAGATGATTATAGTATTTTAGAGAGAAAAAATATCATATTAACTAATTTAACTAGCATTTTTTATCTATTCAAATTAGTTAATTAGCTCTTATATTAAGAATCAGAAGAGTATTATCCAGTAACAAGGTGTTATCCTATTAGACTGCATTATACAATCTATAAACAACTAAATTTTTTAATAAATTATTAATCAAGAGAGTCTTGCTTAATAATTTTATTGAGTGTTTTTTCCTGTCTTCTCTTATACCTTCCTCTTTTACTGTTTAATCTACCAATCTACCTCCAAACTCCAACAACCGTCTTTAATGTACCAAGTCAAATGATATTTTACTATTATATATATACTCCTCCGGTCCTTAATATAAGACCCATTTAACTAATTTGATTATATTAATGAAGTTAGGTAAGTTGGTTAATTATAAAAAAAACAAACAAACAAACAACAAGCCTTATCCCACTAGGTGGGGTCGGCTACATGAATCACACAACGCCATCGTGCTCTGTCAACAACCCAATCCTTAGATATGTTGTTGATTAGGAGGTCTCGTTCAATGACCTCATTCAGCGTTCTTCTCGGTCTTCCCCTGCCTCTTTTTATGGGACTCCATCTTGTTTGATCCACCCTCCTCACCGGGGCCTCCAAAGGCCTTCTCTGCACATGTCCAAACCATCTTAAGCGATTTTCAACCATTTTCTCTTGGATAGGTGCCACACCGACTCTTGTCCTGATCTTTTCATTTCGAATCCTATCTTTTCTTGTATGACCACACATCCATCTCAACATCCTCATTTCTGCTACTCCGACTTTGTGCTCTTGTTTTCCCTTTATTGCCCAACATTCACTACCATACATCATAGCTGGTCTTATAGCAGTCCGATAAAATTTTCCTTTAAGTTTCTCAGGTACCTTCTTATCGCAAATAACTCCGGTAGCTTTCCTCCACTTTAACCAGCCAGCTTGTATTCTATGAGAAATGTCTCCATCAATTTCCCCATCCTCCTGTATAATGGATCCTAGGTATTTAAACTTTGATACTTGAGGAATAATTTGCTCTCCCATCCTCACCTCCAAATCCCTATTACCTTGCCTCCCTCCAAAATCACAATGCATATATTCTGTTTTGTTCCTACTCAAACGGAAACCTTTCGACTCCAAAGTCCTTCTCCATAACTCCAAACTAGTGTTAATCTCTTCTTTTGATTCCGCCATAAGAACTATATCATCCGCGAAGAGCATGGACTTAGGGATTCTTTCTTGAACAGGTTTAGTTAGAACATCCAGAACAATGTTGAACAAGTACGGACTCAGAGAGGATCCCTGATGTAGGCCAATCTTAATAGGGAAGTCCTTTGTCTCCCCCCAGGCGTCCTTACACTGGTAGTTACCGCCTTATACATATCTTGTATGACTTTGATATACGCAACCCGTACACCTTTCTTTTCCAAAGCCTTCCACAATACTTCTCTTGGCACACGATCATAAGCCTTTTCCAGGTCAATAAAAACCATATGTAAATCTCTTCTTTTACTTCTATATCTCTCCATTAACCCCCTTAGTAAATAGATTGCTTCCGATGTGGATCTCCCTGGCATAAATCCAAATTGGTTTTCCGAAATAGAAGTCTCCAACCTCAATCTATATTCCATCACTTTTTCCCACAACTTCATTGTATGACTCATAAGTTTTATCCCTCTGTAGCTTGCACAGTTTTGAATGTCTCCTTTATTCTTGTAAATAGGAACTAAAATGCTTTTCCTCCACTCATCCGGCATATTTTTAGAGCGTAGAATTTCATTAAAAAGCTTGGTTAGCCACGCCTCCCCCTCATCGCCCAAACATTTCCAAACTTCAATAGGGATACCATCAGGCCCAACGGCTTTTCCATTGTCCATTTTCTTGAGAGCCGCCTTAACCTCTCCGATACGTATCCTGCGGTAGAAAGCCAAATTCCGATCATCTTCGTTAATTAGCAAGTCCTGCAAGTCCTGAGTCGCATAATTGCTTCCCTCATTAAACAACTTGTAAAAGTAAGCCTCCCATCTGTCCTTAATATCACCATCAGTAACTAACACTTTACCATCTTCATCCTTTATACACTTTACTTGGTCCAGATCTCTCTTTTTCCTCTCCCTTTGCTTCGCGATCTTGTAAATATTTCTTGCTTCCGTCTTTGTTCCTAACTCCTGATAAAACCCTTCATAAGCTTTAGTACGTGCTTCGCTCACTGCTCTCTTTGTCTCTTTTTTAGCCAACTGATACTTTTCCTGGTTCTCTACACTATTGCACAAGTGTATGGCCTTAAAACAATCTTTTTTCTGTTTGACTTTCTCTTGCACACTCTTATTCCACCACCAAGTCTCCTTATCTCTTTGACCAGGACCTTTGGATTCTCCCAAAATTGCTTTAGCTACCAAACGAACCCTTGAAGCTATCTCTTCCCACATCATGTTTGCATTTCCCTGCAACTCCCAATTCCCTTCCTTCAAAAGAGTCCTTTTGAATAACTCCTGCTTCTCTCCTTTTAACTGCCACCACTTAATCCTGGGTTTTGCCACTTGATGGTACTTTTGCCTGGTACTCTTAAAACATACATCAAGGATAAGTACTCTATGTTGGGCACTCACCCCGTCTCCTGGAATCACTTTGCAATTAGTACACAATCTTCTGTCTGGATTCTTAACCAAAAAGAAATCAATCTGTGATTTTGAGACACCACTTTTGTACGTGATTAAATGCTCCTCTCGCTTCTTAAAACAAGTGTTGACAATCTTAAGATCGTATGCAAGAGAAAAATCGAGAATAGATTGTCCTCCACTATTAAGCTCCCCAAAACCAAAACCACCATGGGCCCCACTGAATTGTCCTGCTTCTTTACCAACATATCCATTAAGGTCCCCACCAATAAAATTTTTTTCTTCGAGTGGTATGCTTTGAACCAAGCCCTCCATATCTTCCCAAAACTTATCTTTAAGGTGTGTCTCTGCCCCAACCTGAGGTGCATAGGCACTAATGATATTGATAGTATCTTTTCCAACAATTACTCTTAACGATATTATTCTGTCCTCAAACCTTTTAACCTCTACCACGTTTTTTTTCCATGTCCCATCAGCGATGATACCAACCCCATTCCTTGTGCTCACCTTTCCTGTGTACCAAAGTTTATACTCTCCAAGTTCCTTGGCAGCTTCTCCAGTCCATTTGGTTTCTTGGAGGCATAAGATATTAATCCTTCTGTCCCTCATAACTCCTGCTACTTCCATAGATTTCTCATTTAACGTCCCAATATTCCAAGTGCCAAATCTAATCTCAGTCTCATGAACTAACTTCTTTAGCCGCCTCCGTCCAAGAGAGTGCGGTAGCCCTTGCTCATTTAACACTACATCCGGGCGACGATGCAGCGGCTCTAGCTCATTTCTCACTGTACTCGAGCCATACAGCGCGTCACATCTGGGCAACGACCTAGCATTAGCATAATTACTTCGTTGATCCATGTTCATGAGATTCGACGGGTTTTTACGTTGGCTGTCGAGGGCCTAACACAACCCTCCTCCTTTATCCGGGCTTGGGACCGGCTATACAACATAGGCGGAGTTGGTTAATTATAAAAAAAAAAAAAGTGACACATTTTTCCTAAAACACCATAATCATCTTTCTTAATACCCCATCTCCCTCTTCTATTTGATTATGGTTGAGGGAGTATCCATAGGGGTAATTTAGAGAAAATTGATAAATATGAGAAATTGGTCTTATATTTAGGACCAAAACCAACTCAACAATTAAGGACCGGAGGAGTATTAATTATGAATCGTATTTTTTTTTATATGATCATATCTATTCATCTTAACATTCTTCTTGGCTACCCCAACATTGTCATCTGAACATCCATCTCAAATGCCCGTAACACTAATTCAATTAAAAATTATTTTTCCATATAACCCATAATTTCATTTAGGAAAAACCATTTTGCAGGTACCTATAATTTCATCCAATTTTTAATTTGGTACCTCTAATTTTTTTTTCTTTTCGTAAAATCCTTTAACTTTATACAGTTAACACCGTTAGCCCCTCTATTTTGAGAAGCACACTGAAGGTCCAACAGAAAAATAGACAGTGTTAAAACTAGAGATCATCATTAGAAGTGAATGCAACAAAGGGAATGTGACTTGTGTGGAGAAATCCGATTTGCTTTCAAGGATTCAATTTCAAAAAGAGGTTCTTTGTCTTCCTTGAAGGGAATCGATTTCTGCATAGAAATTTCCTTACCCATTAATCACAACTGTTCATCTTCTCCCTTCGACAGAAAAATGATTTCAAATTTTGATTTGAATACGTTAGTTGGTTCCGATGCGATTTCGAGTTCGATTTGAAGCATATATACCTCTATTCTCCTCTTTATCAGAACTAATGGTGCACATCTGCTGTCTGAATTTTTTTCCCTCTTGGTATTTTAACGCCGTCTATTTTCCCATTGGCCCTTCAGTGTGTTTCTCAAAATATAGGGACTAATGGTGTTAACTGTGTAAAGTTAAAGGATTTTTAAAAAAGAAAAAAAAAAAGGAGAGGTACCAAATTAAAAATTGGGTGAGACTATAGGTACCTGCAAAATGGTTTTCCTTTTAATTTAAAACTTTGCTTCATTTACCCATAAAAAAAAAAAAAAAAGATTCTCCTTAGTGAAGATGTTTTCCCTTCATCTTTATCATCACTTTATGCAATTGCATGTATCTATCCCACCTCGTGAAGTTTGCTGTATTCACATGCTTCGAGATGTATGTGGTTTCACACACACACACATCATGTGATTATGGGTGGATTAATTAATTTAATTACATAAATAAATCAAATATTTGTCGATCGAAGGAATTCCAAATCATATCATGCATATTTGTCAATGAGGCAAAATACTGTATCATATAATAAATATTCTAAAGTTCTCTTTCATTATAAATATTTAATCTCTTTTTAGTTATTTTAATCAACGATCGATACATCAATATTCATCATCTTTCTTTATATGTAAATTTTTCTTTTGAAAGCCACAGCATGCCTTTATGCCGTAGCTATACACTAGACATTCCAACATGAACCAAAAGTTTGACATGTGTCTATAAAAGAAAAGAGAAGATTTCATAATAATAAATAATAGTTTTTATAATCAATGCACCTTTCCATATAGTGAGAAGAACAAAACTTAGCGGATAATTAATCTGAATAGATATGTTAACTTTATTTTCTTTGCTTTAAAGTTTCGTATGGCCACCAAACTGAGACAGGTGCTGATCATATAGGGGGGAAATAATTACTACCTCCGATCCTAATTATAACAGCTAGTTGACTAATTTGAGGAGATTAAAAAAATAAGTTGAGTTAGTTATTTATCATAAATAAATATTGTCTTTCTTAAAATATCCTTGTTAATCAAGTGTATTGACTAGAACTACTATTGTTAAAAAGACTATTTTGAAGAAAAAAAAGTATAAATATGAGATACAAAGTGAATTGATATTTTATATTTAGGACCAAAATAAAAGTTAAACAAGGTCTTATATTAAAGATCGGAGGTAATACAATAAGAAGGAGGAAAGAAAGATTACAAAAAAGCTCAATAATGCCAAAATGGTATACTACTATTAAATATTGCTTCTTTTTCACGTGAGCGATGCTCAAATAGTTAAATAATTGAGACTATTATTAGTGTTTTTTTCTTGTTGGTTAAAAAGGAATCGTATCATTTAATGTTGAACATAAGATACTTGGTGAGTAGATGCTGAGAAAAATAATGCTAGAATATACTATTTTTCATTAAAAAAAAGTGCTTTTTTTCAAAGCAAAAAGAATAAGTTTAGTAGAAATGATTAGTCCGTCGTAACATGATGAAATATGATTTAAATTTTTGTTAAAAAAATATATATATTTAGTACCCGAGAATAAGCTTTTAATTAGACGGTGACTGTGTTTAATAAAAATGTGTGCAGATAAACACTATTTTTTTCAATTATTTTTTTGTGCGATTTAAGTTAATTTTTGGTTCTTATACGCGTATGGCGATTATTAATGCAATGACATAACATTTAATAGGTTGGCGAATCACACACACACACGCGAGACATACCATTCATTAGGTTGGCAAATTACACGTATACACACAGAGGGCCTGTGAGGGCACATCACATCCTTACCTGTACGTGTAAATTTATGGTGGTGGTGATCGCTCATATTAAATTATTGATTTTTATTGTATTGTACAGATCTCAGTCCCAGCCTACCCATTCATTACACTGATCCCACGGACAAAAATGGAACGTGAATATCATGTTCCCTCCTTGCCCTTTTTGCAATATTTTTTTTTAATAATTGAACTGTTTGTTTATCCCTTAATTTCTAAAAAAATTGGTAAAAAAATAATTATCCCGGTTTGAAGAAAAGGAGTTTTAAATTATGCTTTTAATGAATAGGAGCGAAAGTGAAATGTCGACATACTTTAACATGTCATTTTGAGTAACTAACTTTAATTTTGATTTAAGAGGGAGAAAAAGTGTCAATTGTAGACTCAAATCCTCTTATAAAAATTTCATCTTTTTTTTTTTTTTTCATTTGATCAAGCCCTTTCAAGGCTTAAAAACACGAGGTTTTTACTTGCGTTTTTTGGAATTTAAACTTGTATTCTTCTTCTCATCAGGATACTTCAACCAACAAGCTGTTGGTTCTTCATCATCATCACTACTTCAACCATGATAACAATTCAAAAATTAAATCGTGCTATTTATCGTGGACAAGAGAAGAGCTTTCATATCAAAAACACAAAACTGTTAAATAATAATCAAAGGATCATTTACATCCTTTTTTCTATTTCATCCTGGATTAAAGGTAAATATTGCATCAAGAAAGCTCAGTAATCACACGCTCACACTTCTCTTCCAGGATTTTCACAGCTTCAGTAAAGAGCACTTCAGGTGGTAATGCTCCAGTTGACTCAACATTAACTGGAAGGGGAAAAAAAGCACTCATGAGTGGCTTTAAATAATTTCAAGTTTTCAATACAAACAGACTGAAACATCACTTCATCACTAGCATTATGGCAGCTACAACAAACGGAAGATCCCTAGGATGCATTAACATGTTGCTTTCAATGATATTTCAAGAATAAAAATCTCACATAACTTGGTGGAAAAAATTCTCAAATTCAATAAAAAATGTGAATGCTGCCCGCATTTAAAAAAAAAAAAAGATTAATAACTGCTGAAAAATATTTGGTCATTAGATACATTTATCAATAAATTATGATATTAATCTGCCAATGAAGTTTAAACTAGCCTCTGGATCATGTCTACTCACGTAAGCTGATATAATTACCTTGGAGTCTGGGTCATGTGCTGCTTTAGGCAATCATAATTACTTCTCAATTGCCCACAACAGAAAATAATTACCTCAAATACAAAGATGATACCTTGGTGCTAATTTAATATTCAAGCAAATTAAATGTCAAAATTTCAATAAAGTTAAACATCTCACACATTACTTACAAATAAAATGATCTTTAACACGGCGCAAGGACACACGATCCTCCCATTCTTTTCCCCCTCTGATGCATTCCCTACATAGAGTACACGCTCGTGGGTTGGCAACAGTTGCCCTTCTTCTGCCTGCTCAACAGCCAATCCAGCAAAGCAAAAAAGTATTAAAAATAAAGGAACTTGAGACCACATTTGTAACCCCCACCTAAAACTACTAGTGTGCAACACAAGTTAGGCATGGATGCAAAATCAGCTTTCCGTGTGGCCAAATCATGGACACTACAATCCTCAACTATCATAGTCAACAAACGCAAAATTTGGTGCCAGCCACACGAAAGAAACACAAGACATGCTACCTTTTCCAATATCTTCAATATCGAATACTCCAACTGGACATTTATTTTTGAGTTCTTCAGCAAGGTCATCCTTAACCTCTTTCAAGAGAACAACCTAGAGGGGGAAAAAACAAGCCAAGCATTCGCATGTGAGGTTTTTGTATTTCTACTGCAGTGTTTGAACGTGAACATTTTGCATCTGAAACAATATATTTTTTACCTCTGGGAGCATCCGATACCAAGCAGTGGCAACTGGGGACCATTTTGCATGTGTCTTGCCAATGCCTTTAACTGCATGAGCTTCAAGTTCAATTTCCTACAGACACACATGGTAATGAATATGATATTTGATAATATCCAGTCTTCTGTCTTTTATTGTTCTTATTCCTGAGACCTTACGTTACATTACAATCAACGATCAAAAGCTAACAAATAATGTTCATATTTTTAACATAATGCAAAGGATGGTTCGGAAACAAAAACAAAAGCTGTCATTAATGCTCAAAATTTAGTAATATAAAGCCTTCTATCTTAGCGTGTTCCAACTGCTTAGTTCTTGCGTCACAATGAATGTTCAAAAGATAACAATTCATGTTCATCTTCCAAGCATAAAACAAAGGAACAATTCATAGAAAGGAAATATACAGGAATTTGAACATGACATATAAAAAGTAAGCTCAAGCTGCGAAAAGCAGAAGACAATGGTACACAATTGGCATGGCTAAATTGGGCGAAAGTCCTCAAAAATAAGAATAAGAGAAAGCAATATATGATTTCAGTCATAACAGATCCTAGGATCTTGCAAAACAAGCAAGTGGACAAGTCTCTCTCTCTCTTTCTGGAAAAAGGAGAAGAGAAACATAAGACAGCTTGTTTAGAAATTTGATCAAGAATACAAATCAAGATCACGGGTATTCTTTAGAAGATTTGCATGCCACTTTGTTGAGGCAGGTACATAAATCTTGCAACTGAATTCCTATAGCACATGCATATGTGGGAGTAGATCTTTCTGTTTAGAACCATTTCCTCACAAAATACGAAAGCCCCAGCTATTTGAAGGTCAATGCATAAATTTATTAGCATCTAACACACCCACAGGCAAAATCCCCTAACCCTAAGGCTTGATGCATGGACGAAGACATGCCCATCAAATTTTGCATCCAAATTCAAAATTAATTTCCTAATAGGAGTCAGGTGTAGCGCTATTGGTTCAAGTGCTAGACTTGATTAAATCTCAATCCAGGCTCAAAGAACATAACTACTGACTAGCTTTGCACGAGATAACACATGTTGAATCTCCTTTTTCTTAGATGCGAATGTCACGCATATACAATAATGCATCACAGCTTACCTCCTCCAACTTGTTTCTTTGTTACAAAAATATAAAGTATAACAATATACCAATAAGCAAATAGCAAAAAGGGCTACCTGGCCAGGTCCAAGTTTAGCTAATATGATATCCAAATTTTTGGGAGCAATTGGATCGGTAGAAAATTCAGGAAGGGAATCTTGACTGCAACTAAATGAAGTAAATGTTCTTGGTTTTGAACCAGAATTTGGTTTGACATCTTCAGCAGGAAGTTCACTCCCATTAGGTAACCACTTCAGTTCATTTGATTTTACTGCATTGGAGTTAAAAAATCAAAAGAAGAAAAATGCCATAAAAAAGGAATTGTGAGCATTGGGTTCAATTCTTACCGGTGATTCGGGGATGACCTTTTTCACATCGAACATGGAGTTTAAAGACAATAGTGTTCTTTTCATTCTTGTCATTTCCCGCATTTTCTAATTATAACAAAAAGGGAAAAAATTAAACAAGAATTACTCAGCGTCACAGTTCACCCCACAGCGAGGGGCCATATCAAACAACATATAGAGAAGCATCATACAATAAAGCCATGCATGTGATTATTGATTGTCATATAATTGTATGTTCATTTCAGCACATATGAATACCTGGATTTTCAAACAGCCTGGGGTCAGCCTTGATCGGAATAAGACCCAATCGATGGGAAAGAACTTCGTCTTGTATAACTGACGTATTGTTTGCTATATATACTCTTTCAATAGCCATTGTTGGAACCTGAATGCACAGCATCATATTAAAATTGAATATCTCCAACGGTAATGACCGGCTTAAATATATCACAATAAGCATTCAATATGCAAAAGTATAATGTCCAACTCCGAAAATCTTCCAAATCCAATTACAGATAGCAGAGGGTTATTTTGACCATAAATATGGATAACACTCAAAGACTTCACCTCTGCTATAAGAATTCTTCGAAATGCATTGGCAAGTGCTGGATCAATTCCCATCATATCGAACTCCATGTCATCCTCTGTAAGTCGATTCACTTGAACTTTGAAGTTCTGACAGAAATTATCTAATCGTATGCTATTATCAACTCCTAACGCAGCATAGGCGCCAGAATACTGTATGGTATCTGTCTAAACATATAAAAACAAATGAAATTAGGACACTAAGGCCAATCCGACTCCCCAAACTTAGAATTCAAAAAACACTGCTTTATTAGAAGTAAGCTGGGACCAAGGGAGAGAATCTGACGAAAATTTTTAGTTGTTTTGTACTTACAAAGTTACAAAAGAAAATAAGAAAGTGACAGGCAAAGAAACAGAGCTTAAAGGACATGACTTTATAATTCAAAATATGGATGTCCATGGTTTAGTGAAAGAAACTTAACCATACATGGTCAGGAGCATCGTTATTGCAGAAAACCCGCGTCCTCATGAGTTCAAGATGTGGGGGGAGTTTGGACGGAACACTTTCCAAGCTCATGATATAATCAAGTACCGATCCCTCAGACCTGGTTGGCTTTCTCTGTTCTTCCTGTTCGTCCAATTCTGACATCGATTCATCTTCGGACGAGGACATTGTAGCTTTCTCCTACGTATCTTCCACTCACTCCTTGCTCTTGCCGTCCAGTAGTAAGCAGGGTTTAGGGTTTAGCGATGATGGTGAAAACTGGAAACAGGTTTATATGATCAAGGGGGTGGTGAGGCAGATAGCCCGCAGGTTACGGGGCAGCTTGCTGCAGGTAGGAGCCCATACGGGCGGTCCTAAAAAAATCGGCTTCTGATGGACTTATATTTAGCCGGCCCACCCTAAATTAAGGGTGGGCTGGCGTGTTGACCAACCTGCACTTTTTTTAAATTTTATTTTTATATTTATATATATTTTTAAAATTTTCAATTAAATTGTAAAATTTATATTTTTATATTTTCAAATAGTCATGTAATTAAATTAATCTCAGATTAAAATATAAATATATAATTCATTGGTAAAATAATAAAAAAAATGAGAAATTAAATTTAGAACCAACAAAATACAAATTTATATATAAATTGAGTACAAATAATAAATATATCTCAGCTCATGTGTTGGTGGGTGCAAGCTTAAAAGGCCTGCATCAAACAGTTCCACTTTTTTTTTAACCCAACCCACTACCTTTTAACAGTTGGTGAGTTAAATTCACGAGCTTAACCCATGTTATTAGCTTTACATAAATTTATGTATTTATATATATTTTTGTCTAACAAAAAAGTGTCCAACTAGATATAGTCGTTGTCATGTCCCAAAAAAAATTAGAGAGAAAGGGTGACCACGGCCAAAGCTTTAGTGAAAAGCCCCAAAAAAAAAAAGTATTTAGAATTGTTTGTCAATTTATTTACAAGGTAGTTTTTATATTTGAAAAAAGTCAACTAAAAACCCCTCTTTTTATTAGCAATTTTTATTTTAGTTAACTTAAGACCTAGTTAATTTTTAGTTTCAACAAGTGAACGAGGTTGGTTCGCATTACTTGCTGCATTTTAAATTTAATTTAATTTGACCCCTAGGCAGCATGAGGATCACCGATACATTTTTTTTCCATATAATTTCCAATATGCATTTTTTATGTAATAAATAGGATGCCGTAGGCGGAACCCAAAAACAAAATACTGCCTCTGATTCAAAATATAATATATATTTTGTTGGAGGAGTTTGTTTTTTTTTACATTTTAATTTTGTCTAATCATTTAATAAATTTTTTCAATTTTACCTCTAACATATGCAGCATATTTTCTTTTGCTATTGGTTATATATCCTACGTTAATTACAAAAGATGGCTACGAATATTTACCAGACATGGAAAGAGCGAAAGAGAGAGAGAGAGATTTTAAACAAAAAGTGACTGAGAATTACATTTCCCCTTTCATTTTCCTTGCCGATATGTTTCTAGTAAAAGTGTATTTTGCCTCCAACCCACCTTGTTTTCTCCATTGAATTTTGAAGGGACTTTACTTGTTTTCTCCATTGAATTTTGAAGGGACTTTACTTCCCCCTACATATTTTATTTATTTATGACGCATACTTTCTCCCATCACTTTTGCTCCCATATATCCTCCTCTTTTTTTTTATTTCTTTTATTTGTACTCTATTTAGATGAAAAGAAAAGTTAAGAGTAAAAAAAATGAAATGAAAAAATATGGAGAGAAAATATTACTATATTTCACATAGAGAGAAAATAAGATAAGCAAATATTCATGATTCAAATAATTTAAACAAAACAATTTTAGAAAAATGATATATTTTAAGATTAAAAATAAAAAGTAAATAAATTTTTAAAATTAAATATATTACAAGGATATCCATAAATTATAGAGAAAATTACAATGAAGTCCCAAGCAAGAAAAACAATTGAAAAACAAGTCCCAAAGATTGTCATTCTCACTATAGGACTTGTCATTATAAACTGTTGAGGTTGTTATTGGGACCTTTTGACAATTATTTCTCTTTTGTGAGACTTAAGTGTAATTCTCCCTAAATTATACAATACCTAACATTATTAACAAATAATAAAAATAAAATATAAAATGAATTATACGTTTTTTGCGATTAAAATTTTTGAAATAGAAAGATCCAAACCCTACCGGCACAAAAAAGGGCCAGATCTTTCTTTGCAAAAGCAGTTAAATAAAAAAAAAAATTGCAGCTTTTTTTTCATAATCATTTTTTTAAAGAAAAATATGCTAGAAGAATAGAGTGAATTATAAACATAAACGTACGTTTTCTCAGCGCCTTGGTGCCCAAGGGTAAAAGTGAGATGTGTCTCATTTCTCTCCCTTTGTTAAGAGAAAAATTAGAAGAAGAAAAAATAGATTAAATGCCAAACCCCATTTTCTCCTCTATTTTTTGCCTCTCACTTTTCGTCATTCATCCAACTAGGACAAAAACTCATTTCCCCCCTTATTCTCTTTTCCTAGTTTTCTTTTCTCCCTGATTTTCTCTTTATCCATATAAAGATTTATTCTCTTCATTAATAGACATTTTTTAAAAAATTACACAACTTACATATTTATTGTTTTATACTGATTTTAATTAATTTTTTGACAAACATAACTGGATTAAATCAGGCTTATATTTTGAACAGAAGAAAGTAATAAACACAAACAATAATAATAAAGGGAAAAGAAAACGCTACAAAACTGAGCCCTAACGGTGACGTTAGGGAACGCCCCAATCTATAATTTAATGACGTGAAAGCACCTCGTACTCCTATCTTTCTGTTTCTGGGGTCTTGGTCTGCACTAAACTACAGTGATTTGTCTGTTCCAGAAACCATGTATAACAACTTCCGCTTGGCCTGTTACATCTGCTCAATCCCCATGTTTAGCCTTTTTGCTTCCTGCCTTCTTTCCTTTCTTTTGTCTTAAAGCTTTCCTCTTCTCTTCCCTGCAGGAATTATGAACATGCAATGTAACTTATTGCATATGAAGAGATTTTCTTCATTGCCATCATTTTTTGATTGAGGAAAATGGAGAAAAAAAATGGGAAGAACGGTTTCATTTAAAGCCATTCTCCTTCATTCGATCCTCCCAGTGCCAGTAGAGACAATTATTAAACATGAAAAAAAATTTCACCTGGCTTTCGAAATTTCCTCTCTAGATGGAAATTGCCTTTTCTTCCTCTTTTTGGATTCAGATGCCAGTTTGCCGTTTGCAGTTTGTATTTTACCATTTGCAGTTTGTTTTTTGCCACTTGCAATTTGCTTTTTGGCATTTGCATATTGCTTTTTGCCATCCGCATCTTGCTTCTTGCCATCTGCATCTTGCTTCTCGCCATTACTTGTAACCTCCTTTTCATTCACAAGCTGGGCACCTTCCTCCTCTTCTGTCGGTTCTAATGGTTTTGCACTTGGCTTTGAGTTGCTCATTTTTTTCAACTACCAAATACAGATCCAAAGAATATAAACAACAAAGTTTTGTTTTGAGCCAATCTAAATAATGAGCCATCACACTTCAAACTCTCATAAGCATTTCCTATCATATTCACAATTCAACTATAGGACATCGTACAGCAAATTAAAATTAAACTGATCTAGGCAGAACTATTACATCTTGAGTACCAGACCGAAACAGTGTCCATTTTACCAGCTAATCTCAACAAAGTAGAAAATTTATACTAGCTAGCAATATTGGCAGTCCAAGTAGATAGATTTATTGTCGGAAACAAAACTAGGAATTAGGAACTGGTCCACTATTTGACATGTATTCCAGAGAATTTTAAAAATCTCAAAGACAAATTTATCATTCGTGAACATTTCACCCAACTAGCCAGCCTACAACGTAAGGGCATTATGCCCAGTCACATATGCAAGCAGACATACGGAGTTAGTTGTTTGTACATCCCCAGACAAAATTCTTCGCAGGGCAGTGAGTTCAAATCATGCATCAGGAAATGCATATGCATCCATAAACACCTCAGAAGAATATTACTCCTCCGGTACCAAGTATAAGACCCATTTTTTAGTATAAATTATATTACAAAATGGGTCTTATATTTAGGATCGGAGGGAATACTAAATTGGTTACAGGACATGATTACATGAAACAACATAGATACTGACATAACCAGATAGTAGTGCTTAAATGCAATTTTAAGTCTCAATTCATATATCGTGGCATATATCTGTTTCAGAACCGGCGATTCATTAGTAAACACAAGTGGCAATGTTTTAATAGGAAAAATAATATTTATACCTTCGCAACAAAAAAACCATCCATATTGTGAACATGAGGATAGAAACGCCTTGTCTTTTCCAATGAAGGGTGAAAACGTTGTTCCCTAAACCTTATATACCTGATAGAAAACAATTGTCAATGGCATGAGGAATACTCAACAATCAAAAACAACTGCGTGAGAAATAAAAGGAATACGATCATTACCCAGGACGCCCAAAGTCAAGACCACATGGCACGAGTTTAACATCCCTCTTTTTTAAAGCATAGTCAATGACTGCTTCATTCTGAAGATTAAAAAGAAAGAAATATTAAAGATACATGATTTAAAAAAAAAAAAAAAAGGCACTGAATCTCACAGTTTGGACTGCGTAACTAACCTCTGCCACCATGATGGAGCATGTCGAATAAACAATATAACCCCCAGATTTTGAATTAGCATCCACCATGTCAATAGCAGCAAGAATCAATTGCTATAGGAAATAGAACGAAATCTATTAAATTCAGAATAATAAAGAACATGATAGAACATAGCCTAAAAGGTTAACTTTATATCTATAACGTATGGTCGCATGAACCCAGAGAAGAAGTATTCCTAAAGAGCAAAGTGAAACTATAACCATTGTTATGGCCAGCTGCCAGTTACAGGACCAGTTCATTGATCTCAATCTCAGTTAAATTTGAGATTCAAAATATAGGAAAAATTGAGAGCCATAACCACGTTCTCACTCCATTCATTTATCTCATCTCTCTCAAATAAAACTTCAATGAAAATAAAATTACCTTTTGTAGATGGGTACATTTCTGTATATCTTCTAGATTTTTAGAGGTTTTTACAGACTCATCCTTAGATATAACCTGCAGAGAGAAACCCTTAGTGCCTTTCTAGAATATTAGAAGGAATAAAAAACAAGAAATCTAGAACGTGGAAAAATAAATATTGTATTTTAAACATTGTCTTACCCCAGTACCACTGCAAGGGGCATCCAATAACACCCTATCAACAGAATTGAGACCCAAGACCCTGGGGAGCTGAAATAGAATAATTTAGACACACAACAGGTTTAGCATTTAACAGCATTCAATGTCATTGTAAAACTTATAATTTGCAGTGACATGTGAATCACTTTGAAACTTCTATGCAAAAAAACAGCCCTATACTATATAGTGGGTGCATGGATAGGTTCAATAGCAGTAGACCTACTTCTAGCATTCATTTCCCCAAAAATTCATTTTCAACACCAGCATTCTTTTTCCAGTCCATAAATACAATAGAAACAGAGACCAAGTAATATTATTAAGAAATTAAGGGAGATCAAAGAATTTCCATAAAAGTCAAAATCTTGACTAAAACAGACGAACAATTCCATCGTGTAGAAACAGTAGACAAAATCACTGATCTAAAATATCACCACAGAAGTACCGCTGAAGCATAAATCCCCATGCACAACCACTGACCCCTACCAAGGTCCAACGATTGATTTCAAATATATTTATTAACAAAATGGTTATACCAATAAGCTAACCTCTACTAATTACAAAGACAAATCAAAAGAGTGGCATTTTCATCATGTTCAGTCCATACTGTCATTGGTATTCAAATCCTCTCGTTGGCCCAGAAACTGCTTAAAAAAACATAAGTCATACATTAAGGTTTATTCTCCATTCACAGACAACCATAAATAGATCCCTTGTATTCAAATCCTCTCAGATGCATGATAATCATGTGATAAGAGAGAAAGACAGGCCTTTTCCCTTTGCAACCACCTCAGATGATCATCATATCACAAAAGGATACAGATAAATTCAAACGACAATAAGATGTAAAATCAGAGAAATAGAACTCTATGGTATAGACAAGTCACGGTTTGGTAGGTTAGCTAACCTCCTTTCCATCGTAGTTACAGACTACAGTGTTTGACACTCCCATACGATGCAAATTTGCCGTAAGTGATTTAAGCCGGGGCACCTTCATTTCATTTGCAAAAACAATTCCTACAATTGATAGAACTACTATAAGAAAACAAGCATGAATAAACAAACAGTAAATGTTCAGTAAGATATGTCAATATACCAGTATTCTTCATAAGAGCAGCAATATAAGTTGTTTTACCACCAGGTGCAGCTCTGCAAGAAGCATACATTATCAGCAGAAAAAGAGGATATGATCAGCAAGAAAAGAGGATTTATCAACACCAGAAACCTGTGTAAGATCATAATTGAAGCGAACGAAGCATATTGAGCACTGCAGCTAAAGTAAAGACGTACTTGAGACATAAAAGATTATGTCATCCGTGTAATCATCCATGTCCCAAAAAACCAATTCAAACCATTCATACTTGAACGAAAAGAGCCATAGGGTAAAATTTGTGCTGGCTAAGGGCAGACTAAGAGCAAAGGGCAACTAGATTCAAATGAGACAATAAGCTGAAACTTTTGCTGAACTAGACTCAAAATCAAACGACATAGAATATGAGACTGCTACTGCCCCCATACAAAGTTGGCAATATCTTGAGCACGCCAAATCAACCATAGTTATCAAAACATGCTTTTGGAAATAAAGATTTAGCCCAATTAATAGCATACAACACTGCATACCAAATGTAATTAAACAAGCATGGTACTATTTCAGCAAGCTGGATATCAAGTTCAAAATTGACAACGTATAATGGATCAACCAAGGCTTTGAGCTAACTGGAATGTATACCAACCACATCCTACAAGTGGCAAGTACAGCGAATGGCAGGACTCAAATGATTAATTGCTTCATATAGAAGAAGGGAAGATGCAATGAGTATTGGTTCTAAAGAAGTAAGATACAAGGGGAACAACTATCAAGAGCTGGCATCTCACTCCCAGTATATAGAACATCAAGTCTTTCCCACCTGAGTGGAACGATAACTTGCCAATAGCTGAGATCAGCACCCCATGAGGATATGATATGACTTGCTCAAATAATATTGAGCAACAATAGAATATCCAATAAAACAGCATAAAAATTCCGTGTGAGCAGGC